TTCTGGTGATATATATAGTGTCCTAAAGCATCACACTTAGAGTCAACAGATCCTTACGAGACAAATTTGAGTGGGTTCAGGTTAACAGACAAGAAAGCAGACACTATGTCCAAACAACATCTCAGAATGATCAATAAAAGTCAACCTATGACTCTGCAATTCATCTGTCTCTTTTTCTTATAAAGAGAGATTAATGGAAGAAGTTACAGACAGACTGAACTGAAAGTATTGATACCCCTCTGTTTTTCTGTAAGGTCATATGTATCTGAAGGAAGAATAAATTAATTTAAAGTTAAGTATGAGAAAAATCCTGAAGATGAAGCTAGGAAAATCATTGAGGAGTAAAATGTGAAATTATGAAAAGAACACAGAAATATTCCAAATTCTGCTTTGACTTGCCCCCTGAAAAGCCAAATCGTTTAGTGAAACATTCATGGCAGGTTTGCCCTAGAAGTAAAGTTTATTTCAGTTCAGAAAAACATGTCTAAAATATTATTTAAGCATTCAAGAAAAAAATGGGGAATTGTTCTGAGGGTTTTTTCCTTTTTACTTAAGCAATCATTTTGTTCTATGTAGCAAAGGAGTAGTACCTTCAAAAGAGAAACATGCTCAAACAAGCAGAGAGTCCATTTAAAAAGGAGCTTGAGTCATATCTTCAGTTTTAGTAGGGTCCTGATTTAAAGTAATTTGACACTTGCCAGGTTTCAAGATCAAATATAAATATGAAATGGTATGAGGTGCAAAAGAAGATTGTCCAAGTATGTGTCAGCCAGATCTGCTACATTTTGGAGGTTTCACAGTGCTCACCCAGCTCCTGCTTACAGATAAAGAACATTTGACATGAGTATTTCTTAAAGTCAACTTTTTCAACATTGAAACAATATTGGTAAAATATTGGTTTTCAAATGTTCTGCACTTCCTCCAACTTCTGTGACCCACTCCATCAGTTACCAAACACATGTTTTTATCCCTTTTGTACTTCCACTTTCATTGGTCTTTTTTGTAGATTAAATCTTCACCAAGGAACCTGACTCCCAGCAGATGAGGGGTTCATTACTGGCAGGCTAGTAAAGTAAGCAAACAGGAGTGAGCAGAGTGGGCAAACTCCAAACGCTGACCATGGTACAGGTAGATTGAAAGAGTTCAGGAGGTGTGCTGATTAGGTAGATCACAAGTGGGGAGGTTGCTGGGTTAGAAAAAGAGCATGGTTAAGCAATGGACAGCAGGTTTGTTCTCTTGCCTTCCTCCTATGATGGAAGGCAAGACACCATGGCTCAGAAGAGGTTCCTGTGGAGTCTTTGGTCATAGGGAGTGTTTCTGGGTCTACCAAAACTCTAGGAAGTTAATGCCTGAAGATTATTCTGCATACCAAGTGTTATGTAAATGTAAGAACATGAAATGCATGGGGGGAAAAAGGCACATTATCGTGACAAAAGAATTGGAAAAATCTGAAGTAGGTAAATATAGAATCAGTGCTGCAGTGGAATAATAGGTGCCATTCTAGGATGATGAACAGCTACTTGGGCTGCTGCTTAAGCTCAGAAAAATGAGAAAAAAACTTGCACTGTGTTTGTCACATCCAAGAGGAGATCAAAGTATATGCTTGGATGTAATCCAATCAGCAATAAAATCATTATGGTTCTTTTTCTTGCAAATCCAGTCATGATGTCGATCATACAGATTAACACTCCTACGATAGCAGATGACAAAGATGCAGTTGATGAATTCTATCAACAGCTTGAAGAGACATTAATTAAAAATGAAGCAATGCTATCACCCTTGCAACTGGGGACCTAACTGTGGAAGTTTGGCTGTCAGATGTTATGCTTGCCAAAAGAAGTAATGGAAAATGACTACTCATCTTTGTTTACTGAATGAAAGGGGCATCTGGTTGAAATTTCTTGCCTGCATGTTCATTCCTTCTTCATTTAACACCTAAGCTGAAAGTCCAAGACATTTGTATAGATGGCAATGGCACAATGAGTAAGAGCCAAGCAATGCTCAAAGATCAATATGCAACAAAGAGCACACTGAGTCAGAAGAGCAGTTTTTGGCTTCTAGAATGTCAAAATATGGATTTTCAGCAGCCCATTGCTTCTTTTCCAGACACAGAAAAATCTATGTGATGTCTGTCCAAAAGAGGTTGGTTGCATTGGCATGAGGGAGCAGTCAGTTAACCCAAATGGGCTATGAAATAAAACTGCCAAGTACAAGCTACCAGTAAACACATCCTGGTAAGTCAGGCCTGTGCTCTGAACATCTGTGAACAGCAGCAAGCAACCATTTCATAAGACAGCATGTGAACAGTAACATATGCTGCCCAGACTTTTTCAAAGTGTATAGAGGATTTTCTCTGAGAGGAGCTCTGAAAGAATTTGCAAACTAAAAAGGAACGTCATGTCCCACTCCCTGCCACCCACCCCACCCCCATCCCACCCCAGGAAACAAGTCAGATGTGCCCATGAGATAAGAAGGCAAGCTCCAGTAATCTGTAATCAGCAGCAATGCTGGAATTAGTGAAGTGAAACCCACCAGTGGAAACCACATTAAGGACATTAATGTGGGAGGGAATGAAATATCTCTATATGCTGACCAGAGAGAGGATGCAAGCAAATCTTACCCAGTGATTACCTGCAGAAGAAATAGATTAGGTTCAGTTATCTAGAAACTTTTACATCCAACCACAAAAGTATTCAAAAGGAAGCGGAGGCAGAATTCCAATTCAGCTGTATATTCTCACAGAAAAAACCATGAGAAATCTTAGAAACATTTGTTAAAGTACAAGATTCAGCTGGTGAAAATAGGAATGGCTGAGTGAGCTGGGATTGTTTAGTATGGAGAAAAGGAGGCTCAGGGGGTTCTCATTGCTCTGTAGAGCAACCTAAAAGGAGGTTGTGGCCAGGTAGGGTCAGTCTCTTCTGCTATGTCTCAAGTGAGAGGATGAGAGGAACCAGTCTCATTGTGCCAGAGGAAGTTCAGATTAGATACTAGAAAAAATTTTCCAGTGAAATTGTGGTTAGGCATTGGAATAAGTTTCCCAAGGAGTCACCATCCTTGAAAGTGTTAAGAGATGTGTGGATATGGCACTTGGGGATATAGGTTAGGGGTGATTATGTGGGTGCAGTGTTGATGGTTGGGCAAATGATCTTGAAGCTCTCTTCCAAAAAAACTTATTTTTAAATCCAAGACAGTGAAGGAAAAAAAGCAGATAAAACTTTATTCTTCACCCAATTTTCTTCCCATTGTACATGGATCAATACTTTGATAGTTTAGCCTGTGTTCCAGGTATATCTTCTAAAACATCAGCTAAAGCACTGCCACAAGCAGTGTCTGCACATAATTTATATAGATCTTCTTCCAAATTACTTAAGCTAGTACTAGAAGGAAGTATTAATGTCATCAGGTGCCGTGTCCACCTTTTGGCAACTGCTCTCCCTGAGAAGATCAGGTTAGTTATGTGCTACATTACTCTAATGGAGTAGGAGGCAAACAATAGTTTGCCTTAACATGGATAAATCTTATTTACTTTTAGGTCTCTGAAATCCAGTTATTCTGTTCTCTTTACCTCATTGCTTTCACAGCCTTTTTTTATTGTCCACTTGTATTTTTCTGAGCCATGACTACAAAATTTTAAAAACCCCAAACAACCCAACGAACTAGTTAAAAAAAAAACCTCTAGTTTTGCTTTTGATGGAAAGTCTAGGATTGAAATATAGCACGTCTCAGTGCTCTGCTGCTCTTATGTCCAAACTTTGAGCTACAGTCACACAGTTTATCATGCCCGTTACTTTTTTTGTGTCTACTGCCATGCATTTCATTTCTTACAGGCTTAAATACTATACATAAGTTCACAAAGATATCTGAACTCACATATTCAATAGGATAAACTGGCTCTTGTAGAACTTTTTTCCCTGCTCACCCTCCCCTCAAAGTAAACCCCCAAACCATCTATTCTACTTCTGGGTCCTTCAGTATCTTCATCCACCATTTGTTTTATGCATTTAATTTTGCTCCTTCTCTTTTTTTGATGCAGAGAGAGATCAAATTAAACTGAGCAGTATGTAGTCAAGGCAGTGTTGGACTTGGTTCTACATGTTTCAGTTGCCACTGATCCCATATTCACAGAATCACAGAATTTTTGCACAGAATAGTTAGAAGGGACCCACAAGGATCATCAAATCCAACTCTTGGGTGAATGGCCCTCTGGGGATAGAACCCATCACCTTGGCACTATTAGCCCCCTGCTCTAACCAACTGAGTCCATCTGATGTTCATCCATCAGGGCTGATGTTCATTGCTTATTGTTTGATTTAGGCAATTCTTTATTTTTAAAAAGCAAACTGTTTTCATGCTGTGAGAAAGAAATCTGGATATGGAAATTCTCACAGACCTTGTTTTCTGTGTGCTAAATTGCAGGTTTCATGTACAGATTTACAGAAATAGTTGGAGAAGGCTTCATGGTCTCCAGAATATAATTCTTTTCCCCTTTCTCTCCCATTTATGATTTTTCAGTCTTTGAAATACAACGCAGCAGTCATGTTAATGCTGTTCAGGCTTCTCTCTTGTGTATTTTATAGGTGAAAAAACCACCAACAACTGCTTTTTCTGGATTTATTCTTGAAAAATTAAAACAGCATAATACCACAAAAGGGAAAAAAAGACAATGTTTGATGAGCAGATCAAATGCACAAAATGATAACTTGGGATTTTTCCAAAGGACATTTTCCTTTACCCAGACATGCTTTTTCTCCTTGTTGCTGTCATGATTGATTAGTGAAGCACCAAACAATCCATGTAATTATTCACCAACTGCAGACCATCTGGAGTTAGGAATTTGCAGTCTCTTTCTAGAAATGTATCTGCACTGGGTTTGCTGCACGCTTTTGAGCCTCTTCTGAGCCTAGTACTTAATCACTACATGTGGGAGGTGTTAACTAGGGAATTGCCTTTCCAGTCTAACTACATTATCATTTATATTGTGCTGTAAATGTCTGTAATATTTAAGATACTGTTCAAAGGGTTAGAAGTGCACCCCATATAAAAGATTATACCCCAAAGAGCATGGAGTTGAAGTGCACAAGTGGATCCCATAAAATAAAAGGCAAATGATGAGGGAACAGTGGCTGCAAGAGAGGTAAAGGAACAGATGTCAGAAATTTTTTTGGAGGAGGAGGTGGGTGAGGAGGAGGGAAGCTGTTCCCATGTGAAAGATGATCTAAAATGGGGAGTGGGCGAAGGAAATTATTTGGAGTTTCTTACAAGTGTGTCTACTGTCCTATCAAGAAGTGTTTGCGCTTTTGAAAGGATAACTAAATTTGACAGGAAAGAAACCCTTTTAAACATTCTAGCATAAAAAAGAAATGTAAACTGTTGCCCATTGCATGGTTTAGACATCCTATACATTACAAAAGGAGCTAGCATCAAAATAATGCATGTCTCACAACCAGAAACTTGTAAACTCAACATGAACTGTCTCTCTCATCTTTCAGAGACCAGGCAAAACAACTGAGCCTTAAGAAAGACCTGAAGGTCAACAGCTTGGACAGCAAGGTAAGTATTCTGTCTTTGTGGAGATGAGGCAGGAAGGAGGGAGGCCTGTTCCTTCACTGGGAGCAGCACAGTGGGCACCAGACTCTGGCCATTTACAGCTAAACCAGGGACAGCCCACGTTTTTCACTGTGGTGTTTCACATATGCCCAGTCGTGACTGGCAATGACACACCTTAGCATACAGTGGTTTTGGCTGAGACTTTAGAAACAGCTCTATCATTATTGTTGAAGCTACAAATACATGTTCAGAATGAATCATTAAATGTGCAAAGACATCTATGTCTGGGAAACATCCACCCTGCTTCATGCACTAATGTGTTTCTTCAGAGCTGGTTTCTGCAGCTCTTATGACACATACAGAGAGGCTGTTATCTGTATGGTCTGACTTATTTTGTCAGTATTTTGCTACAATATCTGTTCCTCCTTCCAAGACACAACAACTTTATTTTACAGAGAGGGGATATGGATAGATTTGTTGCATATGCAGTTTGCTTCCAAAGGCATGCTACAATGCAAACATATGGCCTGCATCTCCTTATGCTAGTAAATGTTATAAAGCCATGGCCTGGGCTCTGGCAGATCTTATAACTATATAACTAAGGTCTGCTCCTGGTATAATCTGTCCTTCCTACTTACGGAAAATGGACCTCATCCTAGTGCTGGGCCATACTGTGTAATTGTCTGGGGAAGCATTAATTCCTGTGAACCAAATTCAAACCAGTCAGCATGCTAACAATTCAACAATATAAACAGTAATATAAACATTTGTCCCACTGATACAGGCATAACAATATCATATGTCTAATTCAGAAACATTTTTCGGCAGCATATAATGATCATGAAGCCTCCCTAACACCCCTGGCTTTTTCCTGGTTTCTTACAACCCGTACCTGAGGAATAGGAGTCACCAAGTAGACTGGAATACTCCACTTCCTATTGGGATGTCAGCTAAAACCCATATTTTGCCCCACTGATTGTGTCTGGTTCTCTCATTCATTCACTGTGATACACTTTAATCTTATACTTAATTAATTTGCCAAACTCGGAGCATCTGGAATTTCTTCTCAACAGTTTCCATCCCATATCAAATTAATTAAAAATAGTCATTAATATTACTCTAAGATCCCTGTGGAATCGGTCTTGATGCTGGGCCGCAGTTAATGAGCAAATTTTTGTAACTAGTTGCATATGGCAAATGAAGGGGCAGCAAAATTAGGTGAGGAATGATTCTTTCTACTAATCTTGCAATTAAGAAAAGGTGAGAACCAGTAAATATCACCAAAGTTGTCATATAAGCCTTAGCAATATTTTACATTCTATCACACTTATTCTGTCTCTCTGAGCAGGCAGCTGCTAGACTTAACTACAGTAAGATAATGTCAGAAAACAGAAGCAAAATATTTTGATCTGGGGACTGCAGAGATGTGGGTGGTGTTAACTGTGGCCTCCATGTAGATCAGAGACAAACCAGGAAGAACTTCTAGAAGAGTGAGAAGCTAAACTATGCTGTTACCAAATTAATGTGCTACTCTTGCTTAAGTCAATGGAAGGTTCATCATAGTCTCTAGTGGAGTCAGAATTTCCTCCCCAATGCTTAAAACTCTACCAGGTTAACAGAAAAAGATATAAAAAAATTACTTGCTGTTCATTTTTGGAGACTATATATATCTGTGTAGTTGGTGAAATCTACTTAGCCATATCCTAGCTCCATGCTGGGGAAGACTCAACATGCTTTAAATTTTCCACTTTTTGATGCCTTGATTTCTACTGGGTGGTAATCTTGGCATATGTAATGGATAGAAATCCTGGTCTGTCTGAGCTTGCCTCTAGTCTGGATGATCACAGGATACCCAAGAACATCATGGCACATATCCAGATATCACTTCAGATTCAGCCCAAGAAAGTCTCTGTCTTCAGAATGAAAGAGGTAGTTACCAACAGATGGACCAGTCTATTTATTTCCAGTCAAAGTTCAGTCTTTTTTACCCAGAGATACTGCTTTTTCATTAAATAATGCTCATTGTCTTGGATGTGACAAGAATGTATTCACTCAACACAGTAGGCAAGGGCTTTAACCAGGTTGAAGGGTGAACAGTAGAATGATCTGCATTAGACGGACAGTCGGAATCATTTGGTATTACCTTGTCTGATTCAGTCCATTCTTCCTAGGTAATTCATGTTACTTTTTTGTTAAATTAACACAGGTCCAGCATGAAAAGCAAAGAGGAGAAAGAGAAGGATAAACAGAGTCTTTGCATTGGCCTGTCAGGTAAGAGGAATCCCACCTCTGTTACACCTCGAGGATGATTTGTCCCTAATACATATAAAAGTCCCATATGCCAAGGAAAGAGCCCACTGTGGGGGCCCTGTCTGGACAATCTGCCAAACTGTAAAAACAGGGATTTTATAACCAGCTCTGCCAAACCCCATGTTTTAGAGGAAAACTTCACCACAAGCAAGTTGGGTAGTGAGGTGAAAATGCCTTCATGTTTTCCAGAAGCACCCTTCTGGAAGCACAACCTTTAAAGCAAATCATGTAACTTGGTGTTACTCATTCCTAAAGGAGAATTTTTTTTCACAGCACTCAGGAATGTCTTCAGGAAGAAGGGAGAGTTTCTGATCTGACTTATAGTCAGTAATAATGTGCAGTTCTGAATTGCACCTTTTGTGTACCCAGTGAGTGACATAGTCACTTTGTCACCTCGGCAAGCTGTGATAATGCTGGATGGCCACTGGCATTTTTTCTGTCCAGTCTCTTGGAGGAGTCTGTAGTTTTCTGTGCCATGCTGATCCAGACACATCAGAGATGATTTCACGAGTAGGGGAAGGTAAGCAAAGATAAGCAAAGATTTTTTAAATTGGGATGTTTTCCTGCTTCCATCTAAACTAAGACTAGCTATCAAATTAATTCATGAACATCATCAGCCACTGACAGTTATTTGCTGCTTTCAGATGAAACAGAATTCAGACCAGTGATCAAGAGGCAAAGGGTCTCTCACTCATTAACAATCCTGTGAGCCATCAGTTTCCCAAGAGCACCAGGTTTTATAGGAATGTCAAGAATTATGCAGTAGTCATGGTGTAGTGTATGCTTGAAATATTAATGAACTTCCTAGCTTAAACATACTTGGCTTACTGTAATTAGACAGCAGAAGACTTCTTAAAGATGCATTCCTAAACAAGTTAAACACTGTTTCTGTTACATGTCATTCTTCAAAGACAGCGTCTGAAACAGGTATCTGAAGTGTAGCATTTGAACAGTGTTTCATTTACCCCAGACTTCACTGTAGCAGCCTTCCCTGAATTTAATGAGGCTGCATTAGAATGAGCAGTGCCCAGAGTAACCTAAGTCAATGAAAAGCAATTTAATTCACTGTATGGAGAGGCACATGGTGTCTCTCTCTCCCTCTGCCCCCAAAGTAGATTAAATGAAAAGCTTTCTTACGTATTGAATGAATGCTTTCAGGATTGTGTATCATACTCTGATCTCTAAAAAATCTTGTGTATATGTGTATATTTGGGTCACTGTGTATTTGTTCAAAGATGGAAAGGTGAGCTGAACATAAATGAATACACTGCACTAACCATACAGAAAGGCAACTATTTAATTCACTGACATTGAATAAAAATAAAAGGAACAAAATAGCTGAAGCACAAGTAGTATAAACTGGATGGCTGTGATAATATGTGTGCATGTGCTTTTATTCTTTGCAGTTCAGTAACACCTTCAATGCCACTCATACAGGGCATGCAGTAGAAAATCATACCACTATTACCCTGAGTTGGGCTCTTTGGTGACGTGGCACAGTGAAATACATGAGGCATATTATTTAACATGACAGTAATGCTGTGTCTGCCAACTGTACATTAACTGAGACCATGAAGAGTGGGCCTGCACCTCACCATTCAGGCACAGCATAAGTTGGTGTTCTTAGCAGAGGTCACCCACAGACATTGTCCTTCGCTGCAGGTACAGAAGTTGTGTATTTGTAACAGTGTTTTAATCTGATTTTAGCTACAAATACTCAGAAGTTGCATTAGGTTGTAAGTTGTCCTTTTATTCCATGTTAGTATTTGATCTCATCTTTCCTGGCTATTTCATATATTCTGGTTTTCATGGTAAGGTTTCTGCTAGCAGTTTGCATCTTCTTGAGGTGTAGATATTAAGTTCAAATGCCTAAATGTGTGGTGGTGGGCATTTGTATTATCTGATTTGGACTGTATGTGTTAACATTTAACAGCAAAACTGAAGTACACAGGATGCAGCACCAAGTACTTTAGTTCTTCTGGCCTAGAGGGCATCTGTACTTCATCTTTTGCTACCAAGGCAACAGTTTAACTTCAGGCTAAACTCATGAAGTTACTGTACATGCTAATAGGAGATCAAACTTCTTCAGAAAATCAAACTATGTGACCATGTGATTAGTTTTAAGAATGAATTAGTACAAGAATTGCAAAGCTAAACATAATCTCTGTAACACTAAATTGACTTCTGTCCCTAATAAACTAAGTTCATATTTGAGAGACAAATTAAAAACAAGCTTAACTTCTCTAGCAGTAGAAAAAAAAATTAGGAGGAAAGTGAGATTTATTCAAACAGATATCCGTACTTTTCTTGTAAGTAGATTTAGAGGGACAATATATCACATCTGTATTCAGTGTTTGTTCATCAGAAACTACCTCACAATTCAGAGTACATAATTCCAGGTATTCTTAACATCTGTACATACTATAAACAACAAATGTATGGTTTAATGATACGTTCTGCTCTTTGAAATTGTTGTGGATCAAGTTTGATCAGCCATTTTGGAAGACATACAAGGTTTGTGTATCAGAAATGGCTGCCCTGATTCTCCAATCTGCTGTGAAATTCATAGATAGAAAATGGAAACAAGATTTGCAATGTGCTGGGAAAAGGTAAATGATTTAAATAAGAAAAAATGGGCTGGAATATTGCACTGTGTATGTGCATGAAAAAGATAGCAGTACTTATCTGTGGAAAAAACTCCCAGCAGCTATTTACTGCTAAATTGGTTTGTGAGTCAGTCAGAACTTTTATTGCTAGCATGCCATACAGCTACAGTGCTTGCAAATCTCTATAATTTTTTGTTTGTTTTGTTTGTGAAGATGAGCTTCCAAACCAGTCCTGTGTGTGCTGTGCAGGACTTGAGCAATGTTTGGGCAGCATGTGGGCAGCCCTTAGGGGAGGCTGAGTACTGGGCAGGGCGCAGGAGTGTTGGTGTTCTGCGGTGCTGGTTGTGGGGGGTGCTTCCTGCTGCATGTGGAAGGAAGGAGCCACATCCTTTTGCAACAAGAAAACTGCAGGCAGTGGGGTGGAGACCCTGAGCTCCTGCTTCCTTTTGCATACTTCTGCTTGCATGTTCCATTGGGAAAGGATCTTTGTGACTTATGTTTTTCATATGATGTTTCAGGTAGAGCTAAAGCAAAGACAGTAGGAAGAAGACAGTAATATATATGTGCATACACACACACACACACACACACACACACACACACATATATATATATATTATTTTCTTTTAGACACTCTGTATTGAGATGCTGTTATCTAGAACTACAATTCAGTTTAATGGCTCCCATCCTCTCTTACTTAGCCTTATGTCTTCTGTGATGAAAAAGCAAATTCTTTCAGAGACAAGAAGCATTACCATCAATAAAAAAAAATTGAATGACTTTCAGCATACTCAATTCTTACCCTGGCTTTCTAGCCACCAGAAAAAAACAAAACAGAAAGAAGACTCTCTGTCCTCCCCATCATTCCTTTTGTACCTTTTTTCCCCATCTAGTTTTATATAAGAGACCTAAGTAGAACTTTGTACGAGTGGGTAGACAAATATAATAAAACATAATAGCACAGAGACAACAGGGACAGATGATGGAGAGTGTGGGCTGAATGTTCATTCTCCCTTTTGTCTTTGTAAGAAAATCCTTAACAGTACCCAAATACTAAGTTCCCAAATACTAAGAAAGGAAAATACTAAGAAAGTTCAACAGCAGGAGAGAGACAGTCAGCTTTTGAAAACAAGCTTGAAATTTGTAATTATGTTGAACCAGCATCTTAATGTACATATGCAGCCACTACCAGATTACTTTTGGAATAATCATCCCTCTCAGCCTGGCCTCTGCAGAAGGATTTAAACCCTGAATAATTCACCCCTCCTCCACATCAGAATCTGTACTAATATTTTCATTATGATATTTATATGAGAACATAAATGAGCAGACCCACTGCTCTCATCACCTGGGATTTCCCATGTGGAACCTTTTTCAATCAATTCAGCTTCCAAAAATATTTTGCATCTCAGTATCAGAAGCCTATCCTTATCTGATTTGTACTCCCTTCTGGTCAAACAGCAGTTCTAGGAGACATTGATTGAAGAGTCTTTGCACCACATACTGTCTCCATTCCATTACACACAACTCTGTGGACCATTCCATGCAAAAAAATTTTTTCAGATGCTTTAGGCTGTCCTTCCAGCCTCTCCTTCTGGAAATGGAGCTTAAGCCTCACTTTTCATTAAGTACTCCATGAAGCCCCAGACACTCTTACTTAGTGTGCTGTCATAAACAGAAAGTCTCCCACTTGCCCTGAAATGAATTCAAGATTCTTAGGTTTGATTCTTCTAAAAATTTTTATACTCACTGAGTCCTACACCATTTTAACAGGAAGCCAGAGTACAATTTGTGATGCCCCTTAGTCCTTGATAAAACATGACTACAGCAGAGATCATCAAACATTTGCCTGTGTTTTCTTCTGGTTTACCCCACAGTAACTAGATTAGAGGAATTTGTCTCCCTTGTTAGATCCATCTCTGTAACAAAATCTCTTCTTGCAGATACAAACTCTCTGAGGATCTTAAGCAATGATTCAATTAACCTTCCTCTGAAACATTTGTTAGTAGCATTTACAATTAACCTACCACATCTAAATTAAGATTTCTCTTCATCCTATTATACTTTTGACTTTTAATGAGTCAAAAGTTGCTGTCTTAAGATATCTTTATGGATTCTATGGTTCTAATAAAACACTAGAGTATCTATTTTTTCTCTTTGGAGTAAACACATATTTCACCTAGTTCTTAGCACAAATCCTTTGCTAAAGAAGGCAAAGCTTTAAATCCAGTAGAAAAAAAAAGAGGATAGCTTCAAATAGGAGACATGAAAATGAGTACAAGAAGAAAGCTTATTATTGAAATAATAATAATAAAAAACAAGGTCCTCCTTGAGAAGCCAACGTTTTTTAGAACG